ATATGAAAGGATGCTAAAAATGCATTAGTATACAAAGAAATATAAGCTAAACCAAAATACTGAGTCACACCTGTTAGACTGGCAAATACTAGAAGGCTGGAAAACATCAAATCTCAATGAGGATGCAGGCATATAGAAATCCTTATATGTGGTCAAAGTATGGGACTGGTACAGCCATCCTGGAGAACCATTTAGAAGAACTGGTGTCCAATGTGAAACTAAATATATATGTACACTTTAGGATACAATCGTTCTGCTCTTGGGTGTATGTTCCAGAACAAATTCTCTCTTGGTACAGTGACATTCACCTGTAATCCCAGCTATTTATGAGGGTGAGGCAGGAGTATTCCAAGTTCAAGGCCACCCTTGTCAACACAGTGAGTCCTTGTCTCAAAACAAAATGAAAAAAAAAAGGAGAGGGGATTTGGGATGCAGCTTAGTGGTAGAGTGTTTGTCTAGTATGTATTAGGTCCTAGGCTCAAGTAAGCAAACAGACAAAAGAAAAAAAACCTTATTGCAAAACAAATCCTCATACAGGTCAATAAGGGGACATGTACAAGGATGTTCACTGAAGTATTATTTGTACCATTGGGGAGCTAGAGACAATCATGCTGTCCATTGAATATTTAGGGGAAATGCAGCAAAAGTGCCCTAGTTACCATGAGGAGGTAGAAGCAAGGGATTAGAAGTATACATAAAAACAGAAGAATGGATGAAAAAAGCAATAGAATGAGATATCATTACTTAAAATAAAATATACAAACACAAAGCATCATCAAGGAACAACTTGATATTATGTGCCTCCTGAGGTGATACAATATGAAATAAAGGATATTTTCTATGTACTCCTCTTGCTGAAAACATTTAATCTGAATCTAACCATATTGAAAGAAAGCATGATCCCATAATGTGGGACATTATACATAACAATGAGCCTGCAAGATAATCTCAACTTGAAGCCAGCTTGAGCAACTCAGTGAGACCCTGTTTCACAATGCAATAAAAATGATTGGGGATGTAGTTTGTGGTAGAGAGCACTTGCATAGAGTGTGTAAGGCTCTAGGTTAAATTCCCATATTGAAGAAAAAGGAAAGGAAAAGTACAACTATCCTGGACTCCTCAAAAATATCAATGTCATTTGAAACACACAAAAAATATAGGGAGAAGAAAGCCAGGTGTGGTAGCACATGCCTGTAATCCCAGCAATTTATGAGGCTGAGGCAGGAGGATCACAAATTTGAGGTCAGCCTCAACAGCTTTAGCAAGATCCTCAGCAACTCGGTGAGACCTTGTCTCAAAATAAAAAATAAAAAGGGCTGAAGATGTAGCTCAATAGTAAAATGCCCATGAGTTCAATCCCCAGTATACTCCCTGAAATAGGGGGGAGGTACAATAAAAAACCCACAAAGATATAGGGGTCTGAGCTAAACTCTGAGCCCTTGGCTATATTTGATATTACTGAATAACTGCTAAATTTTCTTAAGTGTGATAGTGGTATTGTGATTATGTAGAATATTTGGCAAAATAGTAAGGGCACATGGACTTTCATTATACTTTTCTTCTAACTGTCCTGAATTTTTTTTTTTAAAGGATTTTTTTTTTTTAAAGAGAGAGTGAGAGAGGGGAGAGAGAGAGAGAGAGAGAGAGACTTTTTTAATATTTATTTTTTAGTTCTCGGCGGACACAACATCTTTGTTGGTATGTGGTGCTGAGGATCGAACCCGGGCCGCACGCATGCCAGGCGAGCGCGCTACCGCTTGAGCCACACCCCCAGCCTGTCCTGAATTTTGAAAAATTAAAAATTTGAGGAAATATATGCATCTAAAACAATACATCTATTGCAAGGTGGCAAATGTAAAGATATGCATAAAATATCTTAGATTGACTGTGTATAGGAGGGAAATTAAAGTGGGAAGTAGAGATGAAAGTCATTTTAAGTAAAAACAGAAACCTTTCATTAAAATAATACATATTCATCATATAAATGGAAAACACAGAAAAGCACAAGGAAGAAAATTAAATTCACTGATAATCTCATTTTCTCCATCAGCAGTTCTCAAAATGTGGTACCTAGACTAGCAACAATAACAGCTTCTTCTTCGTTGTCGTCATCATCATCATCATCATCATCATCACTACCACCATGCTTGGGAACTTGTTAGAAACGCAAATTCCTGGGTCCTAAACCCCCTAAACCAGACTTACTGAACCAAAACTCTGGGTGTGGGGCCCAGTAATCAGTAATCCAGTGATTCTGATTCTAGCCAAAGTTAGAGAAATAGTGATCTAGATTCAAACTATTATTAATACTTTGTTGTAGATCCTTTGAGTCATTTGAAAAAATATTATTTGAGGCATTCAAATAAGTATAGAGAATAATGCAACACACACCCATGTACCTACTACTCAGCTCAGAAGATAAAATATTAGACAAAACAGTTGAAGTCTCCTGTGCATCTCTCTCTCTTTCTGTTCCTATTTTCTTCTCCAGAAATAATCACCATTCTGTTTTTGGTATTTCTATTTTAAAAATACCGTTTCAACAACTTGGGAGACTGAGGCACGAGAACTACAAGTTTGAGGTCGGCCGGGGCAACTTAGTGAGACCATGCCTCAAAACAGAAAATAAGGTCTAGGGATGTAGTTCAGTGGTAGAGTACCCCTTGTTCAATCCCCTGTACCCCCCCCCCAAATATGTGTCTACATAATCTATAAACAGCATAGTACATTATTTGAGATTTAAAACTCTATGTAAAAGTAGTTTCATACTTTGTGTATTCTTCTGCAATTTGTATTTATCTTGGCATTATTTTTGAAATTTATCTGGGTTCATGCATGCAACTCTTACTCATTCTTTGTGTGTGTGTATGTATTTTTTTGAGACAGATTCTTTCTCTGTTGCCTATGCTGGCCTGGAATTGGTGATCCTCCTGCCTCAACCTGATTCATTCATTTTCAATGTTGTATAGTATTGTGTTGTATGGCTATAGTACAATTTCTTTATTCATTCTCCTATTGGTGACATTCGAATTTTTTTTCTCCACTACAACAGTTCTGCAAAGATTACTCTTGCACATGCCTTCTTGAGCATATGTATAAGAATTTCTTCAGGATTTAACGTGTAGGGGAGATCTTCTACCTATCTCCAACAGGAGAACTGTTGGATCCCAGAGCCATCTTCAACTATTCACGCAATTTGTAATTGTTTTCTGAATCAATAGTACCAATTTTTATTTCTATCAAAGATTTGATTACATTTGTTCTCTACTGCATTTTCTGTGTACTAAGGATTTTGTTTAAAAAGTCCTTCCCCAAATCAGGTACAGTAGTGCAGGCCTATAATCACAGCTACTCAGGAGGCTGAAGCAGGAGGACCTATAAATCTGAGGTCAGCTTAGGCAACTTGGTGAGAACTTGGGTCAAAATATAAATAAAAAGGGTTAGTGGTATTGCTCAGTAGTAGAGTGCCCCTGGGTTCCATTTCTAGTACCACTCCCCTCAAAAAACCCTTCCCCAGTTAAAGGCCACAAAGGTATTTTCCTGCACATTTTATATTAGCTTTATAGTTTTACCTTCTTATTGGCAGTCCACCTTCTTATGTAGAATAAGTAGAGATCTAGGGTTTTTTTTTGTGTGTGTGTTAAATTTCCCAATGCTATCTATTAAATTGTTCATTTTCCAATGATTAGAGATATAGGCTTTAAACTCACCCGTTTTGTCAAATTTGCTGAAACCAACCTTGTACCCATTTTGTGCTAGGTATGATTGAGAACTGGAAGACATATGGTCCCTAATCTCAGGGAGTTCACTCTACTGTGGAGATATAGTCACATAAACAACTACAGTACAATATTCAGTGAGGTGTTAGGTTAACAGTTATATACAAAGTGCTCTGGGTTTTTACTCAACTGTGAAAGTTCATAGCAACTTCACAGAAGTGATAGGAGTTAGGTCTTTCAAAAAACTGAATTTGCAAATGCGGGAGAAATGTGAAGGTGGCCAGGGCTAGTTTGGTGTCCAAAGGAATTTTTATGCCTCTATGGGGAGAGGCTACAAGTCTTTCATGGATATAGGGCTAGGGAGTGAGATTAGCATGTGCTAAGGGGTAGGAGGGCTGAGGAAGTCATTTTCAGCAGATGTGCTTAAAGTGGAGGAACATACCCTCCGGGTAAAGCCCCACCTACCCTCTGCCCCCTCCGGAGGTCTAGATTAGAGGAAGAGGAGGGGCTGGAATTAGATTACCAAGGAAAAGCCATTTCAGACTATTTACTGTTTTTAGGGGTATACCCACTCTCCAACCATGTCATGTGCTCCTCGAAATGGTTTCTGAAAAAAAAAAAAAAACCCTTACTTGGTCCCACTTCAGAGACACAAATTCATTCCTTCCGCAAACGCTGCTCCGCAATTCAGGGAAGGAGGGAGGAGGGTCAGCATATGGGTGGGAGAAGCTCCCAAGTTATTCCTGGCTCCTTCTCGGGCAGAGCCTGGCCACGGATGTGAACTTCTGCAGAAAGTTCTGGGAGTGGCTGCCTCAGGGTTCTTCTGGAGCCCTGTGAACTGGGAAGGTTGTTGGGAATTGCTAACCCAATTCATTTCAGGTGGGAAATTCTCGGCTAGACATGTGACCCAGGCGGCCATTTTCTCATACCCTGCCGGTCGCCATCTTCCAGGCAGACAAAGAACCCCCTCCCCTGCCTACATCCGAGGCAGGCTGAGTTATTTCCCGACCACTAAGATTTGGGAACATGCTGATTTAATCCTAGAGAGAGTCCGGTATACAAGATTCTGTCTTACAAGTAGGTTACATGACCGTAGGAGGAAATCCGATGATTCCCCTTACCATTTCCCCGCCCCCTTCCCCACCCCCGCTATTTCTTAATCTACGAGGCAGTCAGGAGGCGGGGCCGGCGTGGGGGCGGGGAAGGCACCGGAAGGTGAGAGTAGATAATTTGAGACCCCGCCTCTGAAGAGGACGCGCAGCGGGCGGAACCCAGCTCGGCGACGGAATCACGCCTCGCGAGGCTGAGATCCGGAAGTCGGAACCTAGCCGTACAAGCGCATGTCCTCCGTCCTGGTAGTTGTGCTACCCTCTCCTCTGTGATCCCCGCCGGAAGTGTAGGTAAGAGACTCTTCTCCTCTTTTCTCTTGGTGAGCGCTCACCCAAGCCGGCAGCGCCATAAGGATCGACTATTTGAGGTGAAACCAGAGATGCCTGCCAGCTTGGAATAGAGAGGTAAACGGCTGGCTCTTTTCCAGAGTAGATAGGCCCGGAAGGAGGACAGGGATAGTTCCGCACGTGGACATGCGCCAAACTGAATTCTCGCGGGGTTGAGGCTTTGCTCCACCCCATCTAGAAAGGTGTAGACCCCGGACACACTGCCGAGAGGCACAGACCTCACTTGTATGGAAAATCGTTGATGGCCCTCCGCCCCTCGGGATAGTGAGTCTCTGTTTCGCATTACTCCCTTCAGTGTTAGGTGGATATCAACCCGCCAAAGGTGTGGCGACATCGTCCCCACCATATAGGGACACAGTGGCCAATACAGGGCTGAGTGGCATAGACCTCTCCTGGTTTAAGACACAGATCCTAATTGAGGCACCTCATCCCCCAGGACAGGCTTTGATGTATCTCCCAACCATTATTTCTGAGCTGAGAAACATGTGAAGCGTTAGGGAATCTCTTTTCCTGATGTAGACCCAGTGACCCATGCAAGTCTCCACTTCTGCTGAGTAACAAAAGCCCCGCCCCCACTGCACTGCTGCAGAGCTGATAAGATCACCCCTTCCTGGAGTGGTTAGAGGCACCGGCCTCAGCAAAAGGAGAACCTTGCAAATTACTCCTCCTTCCTGTGCTAGAGGGAGTCCTAATTGTGGAGAATTAAACCCAACCTCTGCACCATATAGTAGCGCTGATTTACTGTATTTGTAAAGGCCCACCCCAAAGTGCCTCACAGCAAATATGAACGGATGTTAATATATGAGGAGGTCGTCAGTGGAGCCCCTCGAGGAATCCCCAGCTAGGAAGACTCAGATTTTTATCCTCTCCTTGTGAAATAGACACAGAGACCTCCTTCCAAGGACTTATAATTAAATGTAGCCAAGGGAGAGACCTCACTAGAGCAGAGGTGCAGTTCCCCCACCCTGTAAAATGGTAAGAGGTAGCAAAATCACCAATCACCCTATAGTGCAGTGCACATAGGCTTCCTCCTCCTTATCCAAGGTACAGGAACTCAGATTCATTTCTCCTCACCCAGGGTAAAATTAACAAGACACCCCCTATCTGTCAATATATGAAGAGATAGATCCACATAAAAGTTCCACCATCCATGGAAGGTTTCAGAACAGCCCTCTGCAGGCAAGGTGTATATCCTACTCATTCAAAGCTGCACATTTTCCCTCTATTAGTTTGGTATTGGTGTCATCTCATGGTGAAATCAGGCATATCAGTGCTGCCCCATAGCCCTTTCCAGGGTAGAAAGACCTAGAACCCCTCCCCTCTCTTCCTAATAATTTGGAGATACATTCAATTGTACTTCTCTCCCATGTACCAGAAGTGCATTCAGCCACTGCTGGTTTCACATTTCTCTGCACCCCAGAGTAGAGGGACAGATGACAGCTCCCCTGAATTGACAAGGTGTACACCCTAGTCACACATGCAGGCACAGATTTCCCTGCTCTAAAATTTTGCACTGACCTCATTCTCATGGACACATAGGTAAGAGGCCCCTTTTCCTCAGGGTAGACTCCTGGAATCTATCCCCACCATTACTTCAACCAGGGTAGATGAGGGACAGGGCTTCCTTCTTGGGAAAAGAAATATCACCCCAATTCATGAAAAAAACAGACATGCCTGCTCCTCTCCCCTCAGTGTGAAGGGGTTTACTCTAGTTCCTTATTTAGGGTATAATTTACAAAATGGAGGAATAAGGATCAAGGACTCCATTCAATCCATTGAGATATCGGCTCCACTCAGGAAAAGGGTCTCAGATATACCCCTCCCTTTGGATAATGTGACACTGTGTGTACTCAGCCATATTAGAACCTAGTTCTAGGATAGCCCCTTCTCCCAGCACCTATAGTTGTTAGGGCTTTTTAATCATGTTCTCTGACATTTCATTTTACTTTTAGGGGGCTTGGGGCATTGTGGTTCCCAGGTCTGTATAAATTGCTTCTTCTCCCATTCTGATAGGAAAAAAGTGGGCATATTTGGAATTACCCATTTTCAAGCTGGACTGATACATCGTGATGAAGCACAGACACAGTGAGTTTTTTTTTAATTAACCCCTCCCAATCTTATGCTTTTAGTGAATATTCATAGAATTTCATAGTGACTTTTAAAAATTGCTCGGTATTTTCCAGATCATTCAGAATGTGTGTAAAATGTGGTATAATGGCTGCCCTCCTGACTTCCTTGTAAGAAATGCTTCCCTTATCCACCATTCCCTTTTTACAGGTGAGAAAACTGAGGTTCAGCAAGGTTAAGTGACTTGATCTTAGGTGAATGGCAGTAAATACTATATGGCACTGCCTAATATGCCTAATATTTTTCTTTATGAGTTATACCTTTAAGTTGGTACCATAAGTTGTACCAGTGTTAAGAGCATAGACTCTGGAGCTAGACTGGGTTTGAATCTCAGCTTTCTCACTTGCTAATTCTGTGACTGTGGGCAAGTTACTTAACTATATTCTCCTTATCTACAAAATAGAAGTAATTAATTATGGCATCTACCTAATTGCAATTATTGTGAGGATTTTTATTTTATTTTTATTTTTTTTGAGACGAGATCTTGCCATGTTACCTAGCTCGCCTCAAACTTCCAGGCTCAAGTGATCCTTCTGCCTCATCCTCCCAAGTAGCTGGAAGCTTAGCATAGTGGCATATGCTTGTAATCCCAGTGACTCAGGAGGTAACTCAGTGGTTAAGTGCCCTTGGGTTCAATCCCTAGTACCAAATATAAATAAATAAATAAGCAAATAGATAAATAAAATTTAGTCTTTTTGTTTCTCTTTGGAATCTGGCCTTTCAGAGGATGCATATACTATGCTACCCACAAATTGTTGTCTGGCTTCTCCTGACCTTTGGATTTTTCTTTTTATTTTGTTGGTACTGGGGGTTGAACTCAGGGGCACTTAAACACTGAGCTATATCCCCAGTCCTTTTTTGTATTTTTTATTTTGAGATAGGAGTCTTGCTAAATTGCTGAGATTGGCCTTGAATTTGCAGTCCTCCTGCCTCAGCCTCCCCAGCTGATGGAATTACAGGTGTGTGCCACCACACCTGGCTAGGGTTTTTCTTAACTCTAAAATAAGACATGTGGACAAATTGTTATTCTTTGTGCCTTAGGACTTTCTGCCTCCCCTCCCCTCATTCTTCAACTGAGTAACTATTGATTTTCAGATTTCAGTTTATTCATCACTTCCTCTGGGAATCCTTCTCTGATAACTTCCTTCCTTGGTTTCTACTCTGTGCATCCAAAGAAACTGGGCCTATTGACCAGGGTTGTCTCCACCACTGTACTGTTGACTTCTCATCCTTGTCTGATTCATCATTGTGTCCCAAGGGCCTGGCATGATGAGGCATAGTTGTATAAAGTTGTATATAGTGTATGCCAGGAAGTAGAGTGACTCAGTTTGTAGTGCTCATTCAGTTCCCTCTCCTACCATGATGTATGAAGCCTAGAAGGAGAAAACAAATATGTCACACAGATTCCTGCATAAAAGAAAAGAAAAGGACTTTTGGACAAATGCACTTCTGGGCTTCGCTGCCTTTATCTTGCCATGGTCCACAAAGAAAATGACAACATTTGGATAACACACTTGGTGGACTGGACAAGAATTGTGCAACCATTGTACAGTCTATTGATCCTATGCACCAGTGGTTCTGTATTCTGTGTGAATCATGGCCCTGCCTATGTAGAGCTTGGTGGAAAAAACAAATTTGAATATATTTTCTTTATAAGATAATAAAAATTTTATCAAAAATCAAACTTTTAATATCAAGAACAAATAATATTTATAAGTAGCACAAGAACAGTGAACAAAATTAATTATTCTTTATTTAGCAACATCTACTACCAGATAATTAAAATACTGATAATGATGAAAAAGACAATAATTAGGTGGTTGCAATAAAGTCATATTTTATAAAATATGTACATGTAGAAATCTAGACAGTTTAAAAAATGAGGAAATATTGTATGGAAAAATTATTTGGAACAAGAATGTTGTATGGAAAGACCATTAGACAGAAAGATTTTCAAGATTTGTTAAGTGGAAAAAAAAAAGCAACTTGTTGATAGAATAGAGTGTTAACTTTTTTTAAAAAAAAATTAACCACTGTTAAATTCTTTTTTTTTTAAAGTTTTTAAATTGTCAATGGGTCTTTATTTTATTTATTTCTGTGTGGTGCTGAGAATTGAACCCACTGCCTCACACATGTGAGGCAAGCACTCTGTTGCTGAGCTATAATCCCAGCCCCACAGTGTTACCTTTTATGGGAGAAAATAGAAATAAGAGTATATGTGTATATTTGCATAAAGAAACTGAATAATGCCCAGTAAGATGGTTTCTTGTGACAGTGAAGGGACTGTAATGGATAGTAGCAAATGTGGGAGAGAAGTCTTTTAAATACATTTTTATTTTTGTGTTGCTGGGGATTGAACCCAGGACTTCATATATGCTAAGCAAATGCTCTACCACTGAGACATACCCCTTATCTGAAAATATACTTTTGATTTTGGAGCTATGTGACTATTGTTAAAAATAAAGAATGATGGGCTGGGATATAGCATGGTGATAGAATGCTTGCCTAACATTCATGATTCCCTGGGTTTGATTTCCCAGCTCCAGAGAGAAAGAAAGAAGAAAAATAAAGCTATAAAACTACATTAAATGGTAAAAGTTAAATTGAGTATAAAAACTTTTTATAGTGCACACAAAACAGGACTTTCATTGGTAAATTGCAACTAAAATTACCAGACTAACTGGGATGATTACTGGGAAAGATGAGGGGGAGGTGCTGTGTTCTGAACTGGGCATACATAGTTAGGACCCAAATAATAATAATAATAATTAAATCTGGAAAGGTAATTGAGGAATCCTATAAGGAATGTTCAAATACATTTTTTCCCCTCTGGTACTTGGGATTGAACCCAGGGGTGCTCTGCCAATTAGCTACATCCCTGGCCATTTTTATTTTTTATTTTGAGATAGGGTCTTGCTAAGTTGTCATGTCAAGGCTGGCCTAAAACTTGTGATCCCCTGCTTCAGCAGCCTGAGTGACTGGGATTACATTCTTTTGGTGGAATTACATATCAAATCCAGGGTCTTATGTTTGGTAAGCAGCTGTGCTCCTGCTGAGCTACATCCCTAACTCAAATATAATTTTTTTGTAATACTTGAGATTGAACCCAGAGAGTCTATACCACTGAGCCACATCCCAGCTTTTTTTTTTTTCTTTTTTAAATTTTGAGACAGGATCTCACTAAGTTGTCCAGTCTGGCCTTGAACTTAAAAATCCTCCTGCCTCAGCCTCTGGAGTAGTTGGGATTACTGGCGTGTACCACCATACACCATGAAATAAAATCATTTTTATTTTATTTTTTCTCTCTACATTTATTATTTTTATTATAGGGGTACATAATTATGGGATTTGTTTTTACAAATTTATACATTGACACAATGTAACAATGACTCGAACAAGCTCCCCTCCTCCCTCCTCTCCTTGCTCCCCTCCCTCCCCTCCTCCCTCCTCTCCTTGCTCCCCTCCCTCCCCTCCTCNCCCTCCTCCTATCCCCCTGGTCCCTTTCCTCTACTGATATCCCTTAGATTTTCATGAGACCCTTGCTCCCCTCCCAGTGCAATTTTTTTTTACATCCATCCATCCATCCGTCTGTCTGTCTGTCTATCTATCTATCTATCTATTTATTTATTTTTATGTGGTGCTGAGGATCGAACCCAGGGCCTTGCATGTGCTAGCCAAGCGCTCTACTGCTGAGCCACAACCCCAGCCCCTCCCAATACATGTTTGAGTAGGTACATGTTTGAGTGGTTATTTAAAGGGGAAGTACACACACACACACACACACACACACACACACACACACACACGGCATTGAACCTGGGATGCTTTTTGCACACTGAACTGCATTCCAAGTTTCTGATTTTGAGACAGGTTTTTAATATGTTGCTGAGGGTCTCACCAAGTTGCCGATATTGGCCACAAGCTTGAGATCTTCCTGCCTAAATCCTGCCCCCAATCACCGAGATTACAGTTGTGCACCACTGTGCCTGGCAAAAGGGGAGTGTTTCATTACGTTAAATGCTTATGACCATCAGTTTTATTGGTACAGGTGTATAATGTTGACAGGTTGTTCAACAAACACTGGCAAATATATCTCAGTGAGGTGATGGAAGGGCAAGGGAACTGAGGCTTTATGTGAGAGCATGATTATACTGGTAGAATGTGGAATGTTAGTTGGACAGAGGTGGGGGTGACTGAAGAATAAAGAGCTAAACAGATTGCTGGGGCCCCTGATGGTTCATTTCTGTAGAAAGTTATATGAATTTGAAGATAGGAGAGAGGGATATCTGTGACTGCTTGTAGAAGTCTGAGCGATTATAGGTGATGCCTCTATAGGTATAACCAAATGGATGGGTGGTGAGTAACTGAGATGGAGTGGAGATACCTAGAGGTGAGGATGTCAAGGAAATGGGAAACCCCAGGTTATTGGAATAGTTACTCAGTCATCTTCAAAGTTATCCAGGTTGATGGTGACACAGATTGGGTTGAAAGTAAAGCAGTGATCCAGGTACTTTAATAAATCAGGAAAAGTGACAATTAGGTGACAGATACTGCAGCAATGTGGGGTCCTCAAAAAGCAGGGTTTAATCCTACTTTTTTCTTTTCCTTTTTAACAAGAAGTAATAGTTACAGACTGACAATTGTAAGTCTGGAGGATAGGTCTTTTATCTACTGGCCACAAAATAACAGTGTTCCAGACAGAAGCACCACTTTTTGAGAGGCCTGCAAGTGAAGCATTGTTATTGGGAAAGTGAAGTCTCAAGGCAGGAGGCTGAGGAATGTTCCCAAGGACAGGTTGAAGAATTAGGGTAGTGTTGATCACCTCCATGGGATTTTTACTCAATAATTTCCATCTGTCTAACTTCCCTGGAAACTGAGTGCCTATGCTGGCTGGATACAGGCACACAATGAAAGAAAATACATCACACTGAAAAGAGAAAAGCATCTGCTTCAGAGGG